AGAATGAGGGGGGATTTGATAGCTGCTTTCAACTGCCTGAAAGGGGGTTCCAAAGAGGATGGATCTAGGCTGTTCTCAGTGGTAGCAGATGACAGAACAAGGAGTAATGGTCTCAAGTTGCAGTGGGGGAGGTTTAGGTTGGATATTAGGAAAAACTTTTTCATTAGGAGGGTGGTGAAGCACTGGAATGGGTTACCTAGGGAGGTGGTGGAATCTCCTTTCTTAGAGGTTTTTAAGGCCCGGCTTGACAAAACCCTGGCTGGACGATTTAGTTGGGGATTGGTCCTGCTTTGAGCAGGGGGTTAGACTAGATGACCTCCTGAGGTCCCTTCCAATCCTGATATTCTGTGATTCTGGATAAACATAGATTCATAGATTCTAAGGCCAGAAGGGACCACTGTGATCATCTAGTCTGACCTTCTTTATAACACAGGCCATAGAACTTCCCCAAAATAATTCCTAGAGCAAATCTTTTAGTAAAACAGCCAATCTTGATTTAAATATTGTCAGTGATGGAGAATCCACCACAACTGTTGGTGGATTGTTCCAATGGTTAATTACACGCACGATTAAAAAATTATGCCTTATTTCCAGTCTGAATTTATCTAGCTTCAGCTTCCGGTCATTGATCATGCTATACCTTTCTGTTAGACTGAAGAGCCCATTGTTAAATATTTGTGCGTACTTATAGACTGTGATCAAAGTTGCCCCTGAATTTTCTCCTTCTTATAGATTAACCACCTTAAATCACACTATAAGGCATATTTTCTAATCCTTTAATAATTCTCGTGGCTCTCCTCTGAACACTCTCCAATGTATCAACATCCTTCTTGAATTGTGGACAGTGGAACCAGACACAGTGTTCCAGCAGCAGTCACAGTAGTGCCAAGTACAGAGGTAAAATAACCTCTTTACTCCTACTCGAGATTCCTATTTATGCATCCTAAAATTGCATTAGCTCTTTTGGCCATAGCATCAGACTAGGAGCTTATGTTCTGCTGATTATCCCCCACAACCCTCAAATCTTTTTCAGAGTCACTGCTTCCCAGGATAGAGTCCCCCATCCTGTAAGTATGGCCTACATTCTTTGTTGCCAGATATATATCATTTCCACTTAGCCATATTAAAACACACACAGTTTGCTTGCACTCAGTTTACCAAGCAATCTAGATTTCTCTGAATCACTGATCTGTCCTCTACATTATTTACTTCTCCCCCAATTTGTGTGTTATCTGCAAACTTTATCTGTGATTTTGTTTTCTTCCAGGCCATTAATAAAAATGGTTAGATAGTGTAGGGCCAAGAACAGATCCCTGTGAGACCCCACTGGAAAGAGACCTGCTCGATGACAATTCCCCGTTTACAGTTACATTTTGAAACCTATCAGTTATCCAGTTTTTAACCTATTTAATGTGTGCTATGTTAATTTTGTATCATTCTAGTTTTTAATCAAAATATCACATATCACCAAGTCAAACAACTTACAGAAGTCTAAGTATATTACATCATCACTATTACCTTTATCAACCAAACTTGTAATCTTGTCTAAAAAAGATATCAAGTTAGTTTGACAGGCTCTATTTAACATAAACCCATGTTGATTTGCATTAATTACATTAGCCTCCTTTAGTTCATTATTAATTGAGGCTCATATCAGCCGCTCAATTATCTTGCCTGGGATCAATGTAAGGCTGACAGACTTATAATTACCCGGGTCATCCTGATTACCCTTTTAGAAAATTGGCACAACAATAGCTTTCTTTCAGACTTCCGGAACTTCCCCAGTGCTCCAAGATTTACTGATAATCAACATTACCTGTCCAGTGTATTCCTCAGCCAGCTCTTTTAAAATTCTTGAATGCAAGTTATCTGGACCTGGTGATTTAAAAAAGTCTAACTTTAGTAGTTTCTGCTTAACATCCTCTAGAGATGCCTGTGGAATGGAAAGAGAGTTTTCACCATATAATGAGACTGCATCATCTGTTTTTCCCTAAATACAGAACAGAAATACTGTATTTATTGAATACCTCTGCCTTTTCTGAATTATTATTGATAATTCTACCATTTTCATCTAGCAATGGACCAATACCATTGTCAGGATTCTTTTCATTCCTAATATATTTAAAAACTCCTTATTGTCCTTAATTCTGCTGGCCATAAATTTCTCCATGTGTCCGTTGGCTTCTCATATACATTTTCTACAATTTGTAACTTCTGATTTATATTCATTACTATCAACTTTCTATTTCTTCCATTTTGTGTATGCATATGTATGTATGTGTGTATACACACGCACAGAAAGCTACCTTCACTTCCCCTATAAACCAGTTTAGTTTTTTAACCAGTACACCCTTTTCCCACAGTTGTGGAATTGTGGCTTTTGGGGCATCTAGTAAGGTGTTCTTAATGATTCCCAATTATTATTCACATTTTTCTGATTACATTCTTCCTGCCAGCTGATTTGGCTCATAATTGTTTTCAGCTTTGTGAAATTGGCTCTGTTAAAGCACCGAGTATGTATATTACTGGTCTGGATTTTATTCTGCTTGCACATTATAAGTGTGATCAAGTTATGATCACTTGTACCTAAGCTACCATTAAGTTTTAGTTCTGTGATCGATTCCTCTTCATGTGTTAGGACAAGGTCTAATGTAGAATTCCCCTGTGGTGGCTGCATCACTTTGAGTTGGGAAGGCAGCCAACACGGGGGAAATTGTCATCTATAATGTTTAGAAATTCCAAGGGTGTTTTAGTACTGGCAGCATGAGACCTCCAGCATATATCACTCAAATTGAAGTTCCACATGATCTCAGTTTTTTTTGTACACATTGTAGATACGAAGTGGTCATCTTGTTTCTAAGTGTGATTTGATAGTCTGTAGTAGACACCAACTAGTATCCCCTCTTCTGGTTTATTTGTTAGGACATGGATCCATAAGCATTCAAGATGATTTTCTTCTGAGTTATCTGTGACTCGCAAACAAATAAGGCCATTTTTGATGTAGAGTGCAACTTCTCCTCCTCTGTTGCCCACTCGGTCCTTCCTAAATAGGTTATAACTATTGATTTTAACTTTTCAGTTGTGTGAATCACCGCACCTGGTTTCAGTAATACCAGCTAGATCAAATTTATGCTCATGAATGATCAATTCCCATTCCTACTATTTGTTATCCATGTTCCTAGTATTAGCGTATAGGCCAGTGGTTGGCAACCTTTCAGAAGTGGTATGCCGAGTCTTCATTTATTCACTCTAATTTAAGGTTTCACGTGCCAGTAATACATTTAAACATTTTTAGAAGGTCTCTTTCTATAAGTCTATAATATATAACTAAACTATTGTTGTATGTAAAGTAAATAAGGTTTTTAAAATGTTTAAGAAGCTTCATTTAAAAATAAATTAAAATGCAGAGCACCCCAGACAGGTGGCCAGGACCCGGGCAGTGTGAGTGCCACTGAAAATCAGCTCGCGTGCCGCAGGTTGCCTACCCCTGAATTAATGCTTAGCAATTCGTGCCCCCCCCCTTTTTTTTCTTGGATTCTTATTGTAAAAACACTTCACGCATGGTACTAACAAATCTTGATATTAAATCAGAAATCAAAATGAATAAAAAGAAATATATGGAAATGAAAAACTGACACATCAGGTATTGAAAAAACATTGATTTACTCAAAATTCTATGTTTAATCCTATGTCTATTCTGAAAAGTAAAACTAAAATTGTAGAGATCCATATTTATTTTCTGTTACTTTGGTTAAATATGCTCAGTTAACAAGTAAAGTTTTTTCTAACTGCGAGTCTTGAAAATTCTACCTAGGCTCCATGAATCAAGCTGGTTTTTTTTTATCACTGATGATAAAGGTTCTGCAGGGTAAAGCAGACCCTACTTTACAATTCTGTTGATGATGCAGCTCACTTTCTTATCTTTGTTGGCTCTACAGGCCTAACAGGAATAAAAAGCAGTGTGCGCTTTTTTTTGGTCATTTAAGCAAGTCAGCAGCTTTTTATTCCTTTTATTTTTAGTTTTTTTTAAGAAATAAAATGCTGGAGCAGAATGAGAGACACAATACAGATCTATAAAATGTAACAGGTATGAAAACGAGAAATCAAACACAAATGTGGAATCTACTGACTTAACAGGAGAAGTGTGTATATATATGTGTGTGTATGTATATGTATATGTGTGTGTGTGTGTGTATGTGTGTGTATGTATATATATATATATATATATATATATATATATATATAGTGGCAAACCCAGGACAAAGAGCTACAAAGGGGGGTAGTAATCAGTCCCAGGGGGTTAAAAAGGCCTCTCCCAAGCCATTGAAGAGAGAGAACCAGCTGGCAAGGGGTTACTAGGGAACTAATTAGGTTCAGCTGGCTCCAACTGCTTGGGACCTTTTTAAACCCTCCCCGGCGTGGAAGGGGGGGGGGGAGAGAGTGAGAGAACCAGGGAAGCTGCCAGTAAGTTAGGAGCAGCAAGGCTCTGAACCCTTCCAGCAAGGAAGGCCGCACTCTGTCCCCAGAGGGGAAGACAAACAAACACAGGGAGCTGACTGAGGGAAGTAATAGCCAGCCCCTGTGCTACCTACAGGGTTTTGCTTTGCCCAAGCCTGGGTCTCCAAGGCTAAAAAGGACTGAGCCTGCCGAGGAGAAGGAGGTACTTTGCCATACGTGGTGTCAGAAGTGGGATGCAGTGAGGCGCTGTGGCAAGCCGTCTTAGGGCAAGGTAAATCACCAAAAAAAAAAAAAAAATGTAGGACGTAGTGAAGGCATTGATTCAGGCCACTGCTGCCCAACAAGAGGCTACCAGAGTACAGATGACAGCCCAGCAAGAGTCAGTACGGGTCCAACAGGAGACAAACCAATTGCTGATGAGCCAGGCAGCCCAAGATCGAGCCACCCTGAATGAAGTAGTGAACCGGTTGAAAGCCCTGACCACGCTGACACACGGGCCCCAGGGGACCCGGCCGCTACGCGCAAGCAACTATTTACAGAAGATGACAACGGATGACGATATAGAGACGTATCTCCCTGCATTCGAGAGGACGGCACTGCGGGTTGCCTGGCCCCAAGACCAGTGGGCAGGCATCCTGTCTCCATTCCTGTGTGGGGAGGCTCAGAAGGCCTATTTCGATATGACCACAGAAGCCGCTATGCAATACCCCCAGCTGAAGGCGGAAATCTTGGTGAGGTCAGGGGTGACGCCGGCCATAAGGGCCCAGCGCTTCCACGAGTGGAAGTACCGGGACGACAAAGCGCCGAGGTCCCAGCTATTTGACTTGATCCACCTCGCCCGGAAGTGGCTCCGCCCTGAGACCCATGGGCCGGAGAAGGTAGTGGAAATCCTGGTGTTGGACAGGTACATGAGGGGGTTGCCGCCGGGCGTACGAGGGTGGGTCCGCCAAAATGATCCCTCCTCGTATGATGAGCTAGTTGCCCTCGTGGAGAGACACTTAGCAGTCCAAGAACTTTCTCGGACCACCGGGGAAGGAAGGCGCCAGAATCGGAGACCAGTCTCTGCACCGAGGCCCTGGTTTGCCCTAGCACCAGGCCGGACCATGGAGGGGAGGAAGGAGGCGGAAGAGCAGCCATCGGTCCCGGAGAGACTTGAGGACTGGGGGAGAAAGACTCGAGAGATAAAGCCCAGCAGCCCGAAAAATAGGGGGCTGCCCCGAGCGGGGTACCGATGTTATGCCTGTGGCGAATTGGGGCATATCGCTGCCCAATGCCCGAATCTGGGAGAGCCTATGCAATGCGAACTGGGGGATATAGGGGGACCATGTGATCTAATAAGTCTAGTCGCGGTTGTGATGGTCCCTCATAGATACACTAGGCCAGTTAAGATGAATGGTATAAAGACCACAGCCTTAGTAGACTTGGGAAGTGCAATCACGTTAGTCTCGGGGAAGCTGGTCGGGCAGGACCAACTATCCCGGGCTAAACGCTCGGGAATATCCTGTGTACATGGGGATGTCAACTATGATCCAACCATCCCCGTAAAAATAGAATTTCTCGGAAACCCCACTAGGTTGACGGTGGGAGTAGTTCCAAAACTCCCCTACCCTGTCCTTATCGGACGAGACTTCCCGGGGTTTGATAGCCTACTCCCTGGGGAGGAGGTAGAAGAAAATAATGACCCTGGGACTCAGGGTGTGGCCTGGATCGTTAACCCTCCCCCGGCCTTCCATGAATTTAGCCAGGATTTGTTCTCCCCGCCGGGGAAGTCCAGGAAGACTAGGAGGGAGCGGAGGGCGGATAAGAGGAGGGGGCCGAGAGTCCTGACCCAGTGCCAGAAGTCTACGCTTGTAGGGGAAAGAAGGGGCCCGACTGACAGTGGGACGGGGTCGGCGATCAACAACCCTATCGCCGGACCTGGTTCCCCAGGGGCTTTCCCTGAGGGGGAGACGGAGGTAGACCCCCCCCCCCCCGAGTTTGGACAAATGGTGACTGCACGCGGGAATTTTGGTCAGGATCAGGCCAATGATCCGATATACCACAATATTCTCAAAGAAGTAGTCAAGGTAAATGGGGTGCCTGTGGAGGGGAGAGTTAAGGGCCTGGGGCCATATTATATGATTAAGAATGACCTGCTATACAGAGTAGTCCGGGTCCAAGAGCAAGTCATACAACAACTCTTGGTCCCACGGAAGCATCAAAGAGCCGTAATGGATCTGGCCCACAGCCATCTGTTCGGGGGCCATCTAGGGGTAGATAAGACCCTGGATCGAATTCTACAGAGGTTTTTTTGGCCTGGCATTTTTGCAGCGGTCCGGCGATATTGCACATCATGTCCAGAATGCCAGATACATGGGCCCCGACCACACTTAAGGGCCCCTCTGGTACCTCTGCCAATTATCGAGGTCCCATTTGAGCGTATAGCTATGGACATAGTGGGGCCATTGGAAAAGTCAGCCCGGGGCCATCAATACATTCTGGTAGTACTAGATTATGCCACCTGATACCCCGAGGCCGTACCCCTACGGAATACCATGTCCAAGACCATAGCCAAAGAATTAGTCCAGATTTTTTCCAGAGTAGGAATACCTAGGGAGATCCTGACGGACCAAGGGACCCCCTTTGTATCTAAGCTGATGAAGGACCTATGTACAATGCTCCACATACGGACCCTTAGAACATCGGTCTACCATCCCCAGACCGATGGCCTGGTCGAACGCTTTAATAGGACATTGAAGAACCTGTTACGGAAAGTGATTAGTCGGGACGGGAAAGACTGGGACGCCCTGCTGCCTTACTTGCTGTTTGCCGTATGGGAGGTTCCTCAGGCTTCCACTGGATTCTCCCCCTTCGAGCTGTTATATGGTTGCCACCCCAGGGGCATACTGGACCTGGCTAAAGAAGACTGGGAAGAACAGCCGAACCCTGGGAGAAATGTGGTTGAACATGTGCTGCAGATGAAAGACAGAATAGCCCAAGTCGCCCCCCCTTGTGCGCGAACACATGGAGAAGGCCCAAGGGGCACAACGGGCAAACTACAATCGCCAAGCAACGAGCCGGAAGTTCCAGGTGGGGGACCGGGTGATGGTGCTCATACCCACGGCCGAGAGCAAGCTCCTGGCCAGGTGGCAGGGGCCGTACGAGGTAATAGAAGCGGTAGGAGAAGTCGAATATAAAGTCCGACAGCCGGGCCGCCAGAAGCTGGAACAGATCTACCATATAAATCTGCTGAAACCTTGGCAGGATAGAGAAGCTCCGGTGGTTGCGCTGGGGGCGCCATCCCCTAAAAGCAACCAGCCCGACCTGGTGGGGATATCTCCGGAGTTGACTCCGGAACAACGATCAGAAGTGATCAGCCTGATCGAACGCAACCAGGATGTGTTCTCCGAAAAGCTGGGCAGGACTACGGAGGTTCACCATCACATCCTCACGGAGCCTGGAGTGAAGGTGAACGTTAAGCCATACCGGATCCCAGAGGCCAAGAGAGAAGAGATTAGGACAGAGGTCAGGAAAATGCTGGCCTTGGGAGTCATTGAAGAATCTCATAGCCAATGGTCCAGTCCCGTGGTTTTAGTGCCTAAGCCGGACGGCAGTATGAGGTTCTGCAATGACTTCCGCAAACTCAATGAGGTGTCCCAATTTGATGCCTACCCTATACCCAGGATAGATGAGCTGATTGACAGATTGGGAAAGGCACGGTTTATGTCTACCCTTGACCTTACCAAGGGCTACTGGCAGATCCCCCTGGCCAAGGCCGACAAGGAGAAGACAGCCTTTGCAACTCCAGAAGGACTATATCAGTACACGGTTCTCCCCTTTGGGTTGCATGGGGCTCCCGCTACTTTCCAACGGCTAATGGACAAACTATTGCGACCCCATGGAAAGTATGCGGCAGCCTATCTCGATGACGTCATCATATATAGCCCCGACTGGGAGACGCACGTGGAGAAGGTGGAAGCGGTCCTGGACACCCTGAGGAAGGCAGGGCTGACGGCCAATCCCTCCAAATGTTCGATCGGGTTAGCTGAGGCCAAGTACCTTGGGTATATAGTGGGGAGGGGCTTGGTGAAGCCCCAGCTCAACAAGTTAGAAGCTATACAGAAGTGGCCCCGCCCACTCCGGAAGAAACAGGTCAGAGCATTCCTGGGACTAGTGGGGTACTATAGGCGGTTCATTCCCCACTTCGCCACCAGGGCATGCCCATTAACGGACCTAACAAAAGCTTGGGGCCCTGACATAGTAAAATGGTCTGCTGCAGCCGAAGGCGCTTTTGTGGATCTGAGGACGGCCCTCTGCACAGACCCCATACTAGTAGCCCCAGACTGGGGGAAGGAGTTTATCCTACAAACCGACGCCTCTGAAGTAGGGCTGGGAGCGGTGCTTTCCCAAATGGTCGGAGATGATGAACACCCCGTCCTCTTCCTCAGTAGAACGCTCCTACCTAGGGAACGGAAATATGCCGTGGTGGAAAAGGAATGCCTGGCTGTGAAATGGGCCATAGAAAGCCTCCGCTACTATCTACTTGGACGGAGATTTACCCTTGTCACGAACCATGCCCCTTTACAGTGGATGCACCAAAACAAGGACAAAAACACGAGAGTAACAAGATGGTTCCTGTCGCTTCAACCCTTCCACTTCACAGTACGACATAGGTCTGGAACCCAACATGGCAATGCGGATGGCCTGTCAAGAGTGCACTGCTTTCCAACCCAAGTAGCCCAACCCCGTAGTGTTGAGCGGGGGGGGGGGGGAAATATGTGGCAAACCCAGGACAAACAGCTACAAAGGGGGGTAGTAATCAGTCCCAGGGGGTTAAAAAGGCCTCTCCCAAGCCACTGAAGAGAGAGAACCATGGGGAAATAAGGTTCAGCTGGGCAAGGGGTTACTAGGGAACTAATTAGGTTCAGCTGGCTCCAACTGCTTGGGACCTTTTTAAACCCTCCCCGGCGTGGAAGGGGGGGGAGAGAGAGTGAGAGAACCAGGGAAGCTGCTAGTAAGTTAGGAGCAGCAAGGCTCTGAACTCTTCCAGCAAGGAAGGCCGCACTCTGTCCCCAGAGGGGAAGACAAACAAACACAGGGAGCTGACTGAGGGAAGGAATAGCCAGCCCCTGTGCTACCTACAGGGTTTTGCTTTGCCCAAGCCTGGGTCTTCAAGGCTAAAAAGGACTGAGTCTGCAGAGGAGAAGGAGGTACTTTGCCACAATATATATATATATATAAAAATAAAATAGGGCTGTCGATTAATCGCAGTTAACTCACGCAATTAACTCAAAAAATTAATCACGATTAAAAAAATTAATTGAAATTAATCGCACTGTTAAACAATAGAATACCAATTGAAATTTATTAAATATTTTTGGATGTTTTTCTACATTTTAAAATATATTGATTTCAATTACAACACAGAATACGAAGTGTACAGTGCTCACTTTATATTATTTTTTATTACAAATATTTGCACTGTAAAAATGATAAAAAATGATATTTTTCAATTCATTTCATACAAGTACTGTAGTGCAGTCTCTTTATCATGAAAGTGCAACTTATAAATGTAGGTTTTTTTGTTACATAGCTTCACTCAAAACAAAACAATGTAAAACTTTAGAGCCTACAAGTCCACTCAGTCCTACTTTGCTAAGAGAAACAAGTTTGTTTACATTTACGGGAGATAATGCTGCCCACTTCTTAATTACAGTGTCACCTGAAAGTGAGAACAGGCGTTCGTATGGCA